TTGGCTGGCTCGAATGAAAACAAACGGTGTTCGTATCCTCATATAAATATAACGGTAATACAACGCTTCGTGTTGGACCCGTTCGATCCAACTACAGTTGAAAAATTCAAAAGCATTTCTGATTGGACCAGGTATTACCAGGTACCGTACGTGTAGTAGTAGGAAGATGCAAAACATACCCCCCGGCAGTACAAGTGTGAGAATGAATCTTCAATGAGCCACGTCGCGTCCTACTGGCTGAAAACTTCAGAATCCTTTCTGATAGGTGCTCGAGATCAGAGTTTGGAGAAGATACGAAAGAGTTGTTTGGAAGAAGTATAGGACTATCATATACACACTATACACACATTTTCACCATTATTACAATATACAAACTGGATGCTCAATCAATCAAATGATCGAAAAAGAGGTTCTGGAGGAATTGAAACGTTCATTGTCTGAGTGGGGCATAGGCCTGACTGGACATTCCAATACCTTCGAACACGAGCGCTTTCGAATCAAGATGCGAGATGCCGTACTCGATGCAATGGATGAAAAGTTGGATCGAATTGATGACTTTGAAGATCTGATGGAAAAAGAGTTTCCAAATACGTTGGAGCAGGCATATGAATATATTCTATATAATGGAGATATTGCCAATGTTCCTTTGTTCCTTTGTCATGATAGTTTCATTGAAACTGGAGGCTTTGCACCCTTTCACCGTTGCTGCGACCGGCAATATTCTCGTCCCCAAGAAGTCGCTGAATACAAAAAAAGAGTCGTTGGATACAACCGCAAGCCGCAGTTTCAAAAGGTAAAATTGGCACAACTCGATCCGTTGAATCGATTCCGCTTTGAACAAGTTAGCGAGGCGGAGCTCTCCTTTCATCGGTGGTTCGTTGAAAGTGATGACAGCAGACTAGGAGTCTTCATGGAGGCTGCCATTAGTTGCTATGCAATCCATAACGAAAGATGTTTTGCCTGCAAACGTCCCAAATCGCTGCGATGGAAAGGAGGAAGTAGCGATGCGTGGCAAGATTTGGTGTGTACCAAATGTCAAGCCATTTATGAAGTCAAGACCAAAGCAACTATGGAACACATCGATAGGGCCTTGTATTTCAACCGAATTTCTGGTGGATCCTTTCGAGCAGCATGTCGATTGGAAAACTCCAGGCCTTCAGATCAGAAACGATACCTTGTGTTGCTCCCAAGGAATGCTACCACCAACAAAAGCGGACAATTGGTGCATCCAGTCCAAGTGGGGGAAATCTCCACGATCCTTCCAGCCGCCTGTGACTCATCATTTAACGTAAATACACCAGGCATTGCTATAAGAAGCATTGTTTCGTTGAAGAAACAGAGTGTATCACTCAGTGATGGAAAGTTCAAAACAACGAGACACTGGTTCGACCTGCCGAAATCCGTTGTTGCCAGACCACTGAAGGAAATTGCAAGAGAAGTATTTTTGAAGCGCTTCTCCGAGGATGATCTGGAAAGGTTGGAGTCCAAGTATATACTCGATGTTACCATTGCGGGATCAGAAAAAAAGGAGGAGGCAGACACCATTATTGATGGCCATGATGAAGTTTTTGCCAACACAATAATCGAGTTGCCTCAGGTGGATGACTGGGAGGATCACTCTGAGGATGAGTGAGTCATTAATCATGGTGGTGTAGACGTGTAGACTTGTATAAGCATAGTGCACTGTCTTTGATGCGTGTTGTTGTTAGGAAGTTATATTACTATCGGTATAATATGAACAATGCATTGCATGATGAGTATTATAATATGTACTGTACACGTGGAACGATATGATAATGCGTACACGTACACGTGTACCTTCGACTGTGGTCTGTACGTGTACGTCGAGCACACATATAAGGGGTTGTCAATGAACCCAACCCAACTCTTTTTGTTTGTTTGGGCAGCTGTGATTGGTCGAGCCAAAAAAAAAATAGTTGGTTTGGGTCAGAAAAAAAAAATAGTTGTGCCGAAAAGAGACCCAACTATAATATAGTTGGGTCTTCAATGACCCGGAGATAATTGATTCGCGGGATAAAAGATTTACAATTCCTGTCCAATGTTTTAGATTTATCGTGTGGAACAGTTGAATTTTGAGTAAACGTAGCCCAAAGTTAAACAAAGAATAGTTGGGTCATGCTATTTTTCGACGAAAAATAAGCAGGCAAATATATCTACGAGATATCATACGTCTCCCTAAACTACCGGCTTTTTCCCAAAAATAGTTGGTTCGTGGCTTCAAAGGGGGTGGTCAAAAATCGGGGAAAATACTGCCCTTCTATTGGTCAATAAAAATAAACCAAAAATAGTTGGGTTGGGTTCATTGACAACCCCTAAATTCTTGCGATTTTTGTATTTTGATTTCTTATTTTTAACTGCGTTGACATTATTTCCATCATATATATCACGCCCCGCATCGATTGGCAATGATGAATACAACAGTCAGGAGGAAAATAATATTTTTGCTATCTATAGCTCTGATGGCCATCACTGGGACCTCTGGATTTGTGATCCCAATGCGATCACACGTCTCAGCAGCAGCATCAGCAGCAACAGTAAATACGAGAACAAGTCAATTGTATTCCGAGATTACACCGAACGAAATCAAGCTGCAGCTTGAGAAATATCTGAAAAAGCGGGAAGAACTAAATGCGGATGAAATCGAAAAAGCGTAAGTCAACTACGACCAAAATGGATCATGCATGCCGTGTGTATATATAAACTCGTCTGTGACAGTTTTCCAACAGCAACATATATCTAAATATGTTTCTCCAACCTTCATATAGAGAACGAGGCAAAGTCCTGGGAGGTACCAAAGGCAACAAGGTATTGGATTTCATCAGTGGTGCGCCTTCCAAAGAATTTGTGATTGAAGATGTTCCCAACGTCTTTGACTATGATCAATTGACCAAGTATGGGTATTCCGTAAGTTATTGATGATGTTCTGAAGGAGCCATAAGTTGTATCCAACTGAATGAATCCATATGCTAACAACAAATTACAATCATAATAATAATAATAGAGTTTGGTAACTCCGATCATGGAACTCGGTGGTCGTCGAGCCGTTTACGACTTGATGGGAATGAAAGCGCCACCGACAAAAGGTCCTCCTCCTAAGGTGGTGACTCCCAAGATTGTGATTGATCGCACGGGAGCCGATGACGAGGGACGATACTCTGGACTTAAGATGGGTCTAGGTATGGACGATGATGCCATGGCAGAAGCATTGGCGAAGGCTAGCCAGAAATCCAAAGAAGGCAAAGGTTTGCGGAAAAGAATAATGGAAGAAACTTACGAACAACCATTCGCTGGTAAGACTCTGCAGAGCGGCGATTGCTTGAATACCGCCCATTCCGCCTGCCGATGTTTCATTCTCCTTCAAGGATGATGCTCATATCTTCCTTTTCATTTTTAAAAAACTCTCATGTAGACAAGAGAAATGTTGGACCGAGACAGACTCCTGACTGGACACCAGAAGCCATTGATGAACTCACGAAGAAACAAGGTCAAGCTCAGTCATGGGCTAGACGGTCACGAGCCAATCGAATGGTGACAGACGATGGTGAACTATTGGTGCTCAATTTTCCAATGACAGCCTATTGTCTCTTCACATCCTTTCTGTCTGCATTTGCCTATGGAAAGTCAACACCAACCTTCTTGAACATGGTCGGGATGTCGGACACCACCTTTTCTGATCTCTTGCAAGCGCCCGGTTTGATATTGATTCTCACATGCATTGGTTCCAGTTTTTACAGTGCTTCAGTTTTGGCGCCGCCACTAAACAGAAGTTCTCTAGTGTGGGCATTCAAGGGGCTTTGTGGTGGTCCGTTTGCAATCCTGGAACTTCGTGAGCTGGACCCTTTGATTTCAAGAGCCGAGTATGACAAGGAAAACAACAACACTGGCTTATAATCAATTTAAAAAAAGATACTTTACCTGGTAGTTTGGAATCCGTTGGAATTAGCGCTGTTTTCCATTTGGCTCGCGAAATTACGTATCATGAGGAAGATTTGCGGAGCGTCAAATGTTTCTCGACGTTGCGCGACCAAAAATGCGGGAAGAGCGTTTTGTCAGTGAGTGGGTCAACCAGAATATGCAATGAAACTGACGTCGATATAGTTGACCATCCTTTTATTCTATACATCTTTACTATAGTTACATGTTCTACCATCATTTTCGATATATTTATCTTGTTTTTACATCATCGCCGGTATCTTAAACTTGATAGTGGTTTAGGGGAGTATAGGGGGAATCGTCTTCCGATTCGACTCCTGTCGAAGCAGCACCAGAAAGAATCGTATCTTTCATCTCCTCTGCATACATGCGGGATAGGTCTGCGGCAACAGGAATATTGTCTGATATCCTTTCATATTCAATAGTATCGAATGATGGGTCGTCTTGGATATCGTTCGCTTTTGTCTTGACTCGCTGTTGGGCTCCGTCACGATGATCACCACTGATACCATGAGATTGTTTTGATTCACGATGACGGTCCTCCCTTTCCTTTTGCTGCTGTTGGGAGTCCCCTGTATCCCCTTGTTTTGCACCCTTTATCTTTACTCGTTTCATATGAATACACCTATTAGGCCGATTCTTGATGAATAATGAATGGCGGTAGCTTCCACGCCTTGGACCTGATTCGAGTATTCGTTCAAATCCCCATAAGTTCAGTTGTCGAAGAAACGATTTGAACTTGGTCTGATTGAAGAAGCGCGGCAATACCTGCTGCATGAACTTATCTTTATCATGGACTTTGAAAGTATCTTGTGGGTCACCTGGCAGCCATGAAATGATGGAGGTTTTGCCTTCCTTTTCCACCGTTTCTAGCATCTGGTGCAATCTCCAAGGAAACTGATGTATGAAATCTCCACAGGGCGGAAGCGTTGGTGAGCTGCTTTGAGTTCTCTCGTGTATGGATTCAGGTGTCCCAGGAGCGACTTTGGACTGATGGTCCGGAGAGGGTTGATTCATCAGTTGGGTAGATAATGTGATTGCTGTTGGGAGCCAAAATTGGAGGGAAGAATGGCCATTATTGTTTTCAGTGACACGCCGGGTGTCCAATACGAAAATGTCCCGCTTCTGTGCTTCCAGCAGAATATGATCTTTAACTGACGTGTTTCCTCTGCACAAATATGCGTGATGAATGAAATTGCACACATTCTTAATGTTGAAACGTTGAAAAGGCGAATCATAAATAAGGAATTGGTATAAGAGTTTGCCACCGCGACTTCAAATCTCTTCCAGAGAGTTCAAAACCTTCGCGTTTAGTTCGCAAATGAAGAGAGACGCAGGTACCGGTGCTACAATGTTCTCATTGATCGGCAACATTCAAAAGACCTTTAAATTCACAGAAGGACAGACAACTCAGGAGAACCGCAATCGGAAAATTGAATGGAGCGCCTTCTTAACAATTCAAGATCATGATTTGGTGGGACCTTTCTGGTGTGTATTGCACTGGTGTGGGTAGATGAGTTCCCGCAACTGTGCTATTATAACTTTGAATGGTCGGAGAAGAACTTCAAATTGAATATGTGAACAAGTAAATATTAGACCGAGATAGACGAGACGCCACAAGCTGAAAGCCATTCATGAAGTCAAGAAAACGAGTTCATGGGCTGGACGGCGGTGAACTTTTGGTGCTCAACTAGCTTTAAGTCGTTTATTTCTTCCTCCTCTTTTGCCTATGGAAAGTCAGCACTAACCGTCTTGAACATGTGGGAATATTCGACATCGTTTCTTCTGGACTCTTGCAAGGAATCGGTTTTATACTGATATTGATACTAGCTAGCACACCACGGAATGGTTTCAGCATCCTCTTCAGCAGTAGTTCCTCGGTACTACATTTTCAGAGCCGCGACTAAACCGAATTTGCTTGGTCTGGGTATCAAAGGGACATGGTGGTGATCCGGTTGTTATCCTGCAGCGCGCTTGGCCGTTTGATGGCAAGAGCTGAAGGGTAATAACCCTACCTGTCTGGAACGTCTGGAATTGTATACATGGCACTTCTCGACATTTCTCACAATTATTCGGTTTGCTCGGAAATACCGGTACCTAGGTACCGGCACGAGGTACCAGGTGTAACCTGTGTCGAACTGCCGGAAGCACCAGTTTCCATGCCTTGGGGCGACCAAAAGCCATGACACTAACGTCGAGAACGATGTTACAGATCATCATTGTATTGTACGGGCCGTTATCACTATCGTTACATATTCTATCATCATTTTTTCACATTATAGCCGGTCTCTTCAAGTTGGTAGTCGGTTGGGGGAGTATGGGACTATGTTCCTCCGCTTCAGCGGGAGGAAGAAGCAGAACAGACATCTCATCATACATGCGGGATAGGTCTGCGGCAACAGGAACATGATCTGGTATCTTTTCGTATTCAATGGTATCGAATGAAGTCTCTTCGTCATTCAGAAAATTCGTTTTGTTCCGGGTTAGACGCTGTCCTCCAGCGTCATCACTGCGGTGTGATATTGCCTCACGATGATGTTGCTCCCCTTCCGTCTGCTGCTGTTGGGAGTCCCCTGTATCCCCTTGTTTTGCACCCTTTATCTTCGTTCTCTTCATTTTAGTACATAAAAAGGGCTGATTCTTGATGAATAATGAATGGCGGTAACCTCCACGCCTTGGACCTGATTCGAGTATTCGTTCAAATCCCCATAAGTTCAGTTGTCGAAGAAACGATTTGAACTTGGTCTGATTGAAGAAGCGCGGCAATACCTGCTGCATGAACTTATCTTTATCATGGACTTTGAAAGTATCTTGTGGGTCACCTGGCAGCCATGAAATGATGGAGGTTTTGCCTTCCTTTTCCACCGTTTCTAGCATCTGGTGCAATCTCCAAGGAAACTGATGGATGTGATCTCCAGCAGATTGTGACGATTGTGTACTGCTTGGAATCCATCCACTACATGGTGGAAGCGGTGGTGAGCTCCTTGGTGTTCTTTCGTGGATGGACTCATTTCTAACAGGAACGACGTTTGATTGGCTGTCCGGAGAGGGTAGATTAATGAGTTTTGCGGTTTGCTTTATTTTTGAAGTCAAAGAGTAAATGATATGGTGCTTCAGCGTCATACTGAATGCGAAAATATCGTACCAGTTTCTGGCTTCCCAGAGAATACGTCCTAAAACTAACGGATAAACTAAACATTTACATGCGCTTTTGCAATCATTCGTTGGCTCTTGGTGGGGTCGTGAAAAAGGCGGATAGAATCAAATGGTATTCTTTAGAGTTCGAAACCTTCGCGCATAGATATGAAAGACGTGAACAAAGCGACCAATAGCTCCGAACTGGAAACCAGAGGCCATTGATCATAAACTCATGGAATAACGAAACGACGCCCCGCTATGGGCTAGATGGCAACGGGCCACTCTAATGATGGCAAAGGATGGTGAATTTTCTTTGTGCTTTTCGAAACTAGCCTACTGAGGACTCACATCGTTTCGTTCTGCCATTGGCTGCCGTGGGAAGTCGACACCTCGCTATCTGGACTCTTACAGGCAATTTGCCGCTGAACCGAAGTTCTTAACGAAGTGCGCTTTTGGCATTCCGTTTGCCATCCTGCCTTGCGAGCTGGGCCCTTGGATTGCGAGAGCCCAAACTGACAAGGAAAACAATAATTTTACATCTGCTGTTTGATACTGCGGGATTTTCACACTTGGCGTACAGTAAGGAGAATTTTGTACTGAATGAGCGCAAGTTTCGGATAATCTTCCTGCGACCCAAAATGCTTGAAGAGCGTTTCTGCCCTGAAATAGCGTGCCGACCAAAACAAAACTTGAGACTATCGTCGATTTTGTGGAGTACTGGTAGCTCATACTTGTGTTAAAATATTTCTCTCTATCGTTACATATTCTATCATCATTTCTACATCTAGTTGCTTATTTTTCACAGCATGGCCATTTTGATTAAATTTGGTAGTCCTTTCGGGTAGTAAATTGGGAATGGCGACGATGACGGTCTTCAGCTGATGTCGCAGGAGAAAGAAACTTCTCCTTCATCTCTTCTGCATACATGCGGGATAGGTCCGCGGCAACAGGAATATTATCTGGTATCTTTTCATATTCAATGGTATCGAAGGACGTTTCGTCGTGAGTATCATTGGTTCTGCTCCGGGCTCGATCATGCTGCCACTGTCCTCCGGCATCATCATGCTTCTGATGATCGCTGGGATACAATGCTGCATCATGTTGTACCATTTTCGCCAGCTGCTGTTGTGAGTACCCCGACTTTATTTTTACTCGTTTCATGTGAATACACAGGTCAGGCCGATTCTTAATGAATAATGAGTGGCGGTAGCCACCATACCTGTCACCTGATTTGAGTATTCGTTCAAACCCCCATAGGTTCAGTTGTCGCAAAAACGATTTGAACTTGGTCTGATTAAAGAAGCGCGGCATTACCTGCTCTGTGAAGATGTCTTTATCGTGGACCTTGAATGTATCCTGGGGGTGCCCTGGAAGCCACGAAATGATGGACGCATTCCCTTCCTTTTCCACTGTGTCCAACATCTGATGTAATCTCCAAGGGAACTGATTGGTGATATCTCCTGCAGATGCCGAATGTTGCGGTGGATTACTTGGAGCTTTCTCGTTGACAGAATCATTTACTTCAGGGGCGACAGTTGACTTTTGGTCCGGAGCGGGTTGATTCATCGCAATGGTGCAGACAATGAATTTTTTGAAAGGAGCACAAAAGGTGGACGGAAAAATGTGACGATTTTCTGAACTGCCGATCCTTGTCACCAGAACGTGTACAGTGGTACTTGCCCAACCACGGCCAAAATATGACATAAGTGCTAAAATATGACTTAGGGAACTGCGAAGACATCCCCTAGTCGTTTTGCCGGAAGATACATTTTAGGCCCTTGGCCTTGCGGGGTAGTTAAACAGTTGAACTTCTGATCATG